TCGCCTTAATTTTTTATGTGGCTGTTAATGTTTCTTGTTAGTGAACAGCAGTTAGCTTTTAAATGTTTCTGTTTTTGATCAATGTCTTGGTGGAAATAGACAACATATTAGGCAGGGGCAAATAACCCAAGTTTTGTACTTGGCTGAATTCTTATTTCTGAGAAATAATTGGACGTGCAAATACCATCCCCAGCCTCTCTGTAGTAATTCATCTTTTCTCCCTTTTGCTGTTCCAGTGATCCGAGCGTCTGCAAGCATCAAAAGTTTCACTCTGTTGAAAGTGTCAAAGGAGTTGCTGAGATTTTCACTTTTCTCCTTGGAAGACCATATGTAAAAATGAGATGGTTATCATGTTTCCTAATTTGTTGGACAGGAAAGGGGCAGTAGTGGGAGGGTACTGAGATAGAAAAGCACATCAACAGTATCACTTTGCCTGTACAGAAAGATCTGTTTGGGTTTTGGTTGTGAGAGAACGTATTAAAGAATCATAACTCATTTTGCTATGTGATCAAGTTAGGAACTCCCAGATTTATATTACTTCATGTATGGGAGCTAAACTTCTTTCAGCACAGCATTACTGGTTTTTAACTGAATGTTTTGGCATTAGAAAATCCTCTCTGTAAACCCCACAGGATGAAATACTACTAACTTCCCTAAAGGATAATAGAATTTGATAACACGAAACCCATAATTCTGGTGCCAGTTAAACTAAAATGAGACAACTTGAAAACAGGAATGTCAAAAACAAAATTAACTTCATTCTTAAATCTTTGCAACATTTTTAAGAAGCTGATAGTAGATAAGTTTTCAACAAATGTATGCCAGCAAAATTTTACTCAAATGTCTAACTGAGGCTACCACTACACATTACATTTATGCCACATTTAACATGTTAATTAGCATAAGAAACAAGGGTACTACACATGCAATTAATTTAATGAGCCATAAATGGCAAACCAGCCTTAAAAATATTCAACAAATAATGGAGAACACTTTTATGTCTGGTTTGTATGGTGCCTTAATCTGAACATGTGGTACATCCACACACCAGGTCTTTCCAGTATAGATGCTCAACAATCGACTAATTGTCAGAATTGGCACTGGACAGCCCCAATCTCCGACTAGTCTGCTAACAATATTCTTGGCACAGCCCTGACACAGCCTTAGTCTCCAGTGGGCTAGGGCCTGTCCCAATATCTTTGGTGACAATCAGTTGATTATCAGCACCAGCCCCCAGAGCGGTCCTAGTTCTTCAATGGGGTAAAGGGCTGCCCTGGTGTTGAGGGGAGGAATTATAGGCTGCAGGTGTGGGTAGCTGAAGGGCTTCTTCTGCTGGGAAGTTTAAGCCCCACCAGAATCCCTGCTGGGGGAATCCCTCAAACCCACTGAGGCTGACAATCAGCTGATTGTTGGTCCTGGCTTGGACAGATTTTGAACTGGACCCATGGCTGTCTGGGCCAGGGTCAACAATCAGCTGATTGGCTGCCTGGACAGCCTTGAGTGAACCAGATCTGGGATTGTTTGGGTATGGGGCCTAAAATCAGCTGATAGCACAGGTCTGGAACTGGCCCCAGGCTATCCAGGCTGAGGCCAACAATGCGCCTATCGCCAGTCCTATGTGCAGGTATGAGGGTATCTGGATTTATGATCCTGGGCTCCCCCTGGCCTAACAAGTAATAATTATGCAATTGGAATCTGGGCTTTCTTCCGCAAATTGCTCCTTTTGCCATATACTTGCCAGGGGCATAAGTGTCATTGCACCATTAAATAAACATATCAGGGACCTAAATGTCCTTTGTCAGTTACTAGATGTATTCTGGTATCTAAATATCTTCCAGAATTCATACATCTATACACTGAAATTTGGTGCAAATTCACTGTATGATCTCTCTTCTCCCTCTCCAGTTCACACATTATTGTTGGTTATGTCTATACCTAATCTATTGCATCTTTTTTAGACTGCTGCCAAGACATGAACCCTCCTTATTTGCTACCACCACACTGCACGATGTAAAAAAAGGCTGCATGGTAGTGTTCTCTGTCGTGTGGTGTAGTGGAGTGGGTCAGTGATGTTCTCAGAAGAATGCCCAAGACAAAGGTTCTGAAAATATCCTGGACGCAGTCAAAAAAGCTGCAATGTGATGTTGTTCTGCATGTGGTGCAGAATAAGAATAAGTCAGTACGGTCAGTTTCTTAGCAGCATACTGGGGTCTGCTGTTGAGGGTATGTAGACCTTGTTTGTGTTGTATGGCCAAATTTTAGCTGAAGTAAAGACATTATGTTTTACAAGGTAGCACAGACTAATGGGCTGAAGATCAACACCTTAGATGAGTCACTGACTCCAGGGATATTACATTTCAAGAAAGCAGTGAGAATCTGTTGTTGTCATCAAAACATTCCTGGGGACCTCAGTCTGAAAATACTAAAGGTAGAAAATTTAACCCATTTTACAGTTCTCTTCATTTGCTCATATTTTTTCCAGGGTTTTTTTTTTTAATGGAAGTGTTAGCATTCTTTATTACTAAAGTTGCTCACCAACATTGCTTATAATAAAAGACTTACTAATCCAACGATGGTATTTGCAACTTGACGTGGTATGTAATCAAATATGATGATTGGTGCATTGTGCTAAGTGAGAAGCAGGTGAATGTTATCTTGAAACTTTGCAACTAATTTTAATAGGAAAGACAAATGAATGAGCAGTTTAGTAAAAGGTTCAATCAATAAGAGCAATGCATTGAGGTGACTCATCAAATATCAGATCTTTGGAGTACTTTCATGTGGGTATGCATTGTAGATAGTCTGCTGGCACCATATCTAATAAAAAGGATATGTAATAAGAGCATGCTTTCTTATTTGTTTGTTGCAAAGGAAAGATGATGGTGAATTAAAGTTTGTGATAAATTATTTAGGAAGAAATACAGCATTTTAATAGAGTGAATATTTTAAAATGTATATGGTTAGGGCCTTAATATTAATTCCTTTAATCTTCAAAGTGCTTTGCAAACTTTATTCCAACAGGAAGAGTAAATTTTAAATGCAAGGTAACTTGGCTTCCAGCATGAAGGTTTTACTTTTACTAGTAATATTTCATTGTTTAAACCAACTGTTTCTACCATGGCTACTGCTGCAACAGTAGAAAACTTCTACGTACTATAATATAACAAAGAAGGATTATACTGAAAGGTTAGAGTATAAGTGTACAGAAAGGTAGCTTTCAGACCTGATGAGAAGAAGGTATGCATGTTTAAGAATATAACTACAATAAATTAATCTTCTTCATGGAACTAAGGTTGAAATTTGGTTAGATGCAACTCTTATGAATTCATGGGGCCTCTATGCAACTGACCAATGTGTTTGTCAGGAAAAGCAAACCATGGATCGTCACCTGGGATGCTCTGTAGCAGCACAATGCATCCCACAAGATCTGGCAACCCCAATACCATCAGTAGTGGCCTATGCAGAATCTTGGGAACAGACCATATAGAAAGGTTGGATTGGAGACACGAGGAAGGCATCAGAATGGACATGGGGCATGAGTGACTGGTCTGAGGGGGTTACCATGTTGATAGCCAAGCTGTATATCAATCAGAGTCTAAAGTATCAAACTGGAAGTTGAGGCAAACTGTTGGTGGAGCTGGCAGATCCAAGAAAGGAGGATCCATGACGGGAACAAAGCTACAAGCGTGCAGGACGGCAACGCATACAATCTGGCTGGCCTACAGGTGTTGTCCAACCTTTTATTATTATCCTAGTAGTATTGCAGAGAAGATTTTTGTCATTGGCTGTTGCCACCTCTGTTGCTCTTGGAGTGCTGCTTTAAGTTCTTTTGCTTTGGGATCACCACTTGGTGTTGGTGCTAAGGTGTGGTGCTTACTGCCACTTGGGGTCTCTGCCATCTTTTGGGACAACTACTCTCAGTTGCTGCTGCTCAGGGGTTGCTGCTGCTGCTCTGGGGAGCACCGCACAGGGTCATTGTTGAGATGTGTGGCCTGCTGCCTCTTGGGATTGCCACCCACTGTCACTCTGTAAGCACTGCTAGAATCTCTCCATCTTGCTGCTTGGGACCACTGTCACCACTCCATGAGTGCCACTTGGGATTGCTGCTGGGGTGTGCTGCCTGCTGCCGCTTTGTAAGCATTGCCCAGGGTTGTTGTGGAAGTGTGCTGTCTGCTGTTTCTCACGATCACCATCTGCTGTGGCCTATAAATGCCACTGGTGTCAGTACTGAGGTATGCTCCCTGCCCTCTCAAGATTGCCACTTGCCATGGCTTAGAGTTGTCACTCTGCTGCTCTACAAGCACCAATGGGGTCTCTGCCACCTCTTGCTGCTGTGGAGTGCACCCCCACTGGCATCTCAGCTATTATTTTAATGAGTAGGGCAACTTCAGCTATCACTTCCTAGTGAGGGTTTCACTGGCCTTAGCAACAATGCCCTTAAAGGGTGATCTTGGTTTAGAGTCTCTCCAGGCTCACCCACTTTAATAGAAACTGTAGGTCTACTGTTGGCCTCAGACCAGGTCATAGTTCATGCCAACCTCCTGGTGACTCCTGGACAACTATCTTGTGCAGCTCCTGTGTGTCTCCCAAATGAAAAAATGGGAAAGCTCAGTTATGCAAAGATCTGGACTCTTTAGTTCCATTACCTTTAATTTTTAAGGCACAAGCCATGGAATAAGCACAAACGGGCCCTTGACCCATTGAACCTGCATATTAAATGAGGGCATGCAGTTTTTAGAACATTTAGAGTAGACCAAGGTAGGTGTGTGTGTATCAATGTGCAGGGGTACCCTGACTGTGGCAGGGCACATGCAGTGTCTGCCACTTTAAGGTTTCAAGTTGGCAGTGGACCAGCCAGCAGATGGGTGCAACAGATGGGTGCCTCATCAAGGCTAGCACATGACCCTAGGAGTACCCTGGGATTCGCTGAGGGGACAGCACAGCCTCCATTTTAACCCAGGCCCTCAGAGGCAAGCAGTAGGCTGAGCTGAGCAGGCAAGGAGGCAACATCAGGCTGAGCTACTCCTGGAACATCTTGGAGGTAAGGGCAGGAGCTATGGGGATGGTTTGGAGGCTCCTGGTCCTAGGCATGACCTGAAACAGCACCCTGCCAGGGAAGGGTGGCCTGGTGGACTTCCTATGGTGGGGGAGTCCCCAGGAAATGCTAGGCCTGTTACCTCCCCGGTGAAAGGCGAGGAGGGGTGCCTGAAAACCCCAGCCTCTGCCTATGGGCAGGTTACTGACAAGGGAAGAGACCTGGGCTAGGCAAACCCAGAGAGGGACACCTGAGCCCAGTGTAGTAGGGCCAGGCACAGCGTCAGGCATCTGAGCCCCACTGTGTGAGAGACCCTAGGGTAGCGGGGGTCAGGCACGGTGGAAGCCACTTGAGCCCCAATGGGTGAGAGACCCCAGTGCAGGGGGCCAGGCATGGCGCAAGCCACCTGAGCCCCACAGGGTGCAAGACCCCAAGTGGCCCCAGTGAGGAGGGAGACAGTGAAGTGGCCCAGAGTGGGGATGAGCTAGAGAAGTACTGGATTTGAGAATGAACATCAGCGAGGCATGGGACACGTGTAAGGGAAGGTCGGGGCGTGTACCAAAGCCCTTGGCATTAGGAGGGTGAGCAATGGGCTTCCTCCTGCCTTTAGAAACAGCAATCATATTTTTCATCAAGGTGTGGCAGGTGAGTGAGGCGGAGGTTTAGCCTTGAAGAGGTGGGCGGCCAGCACTGAGACCTGACCCTAAAAGGCCAGCCTGTTACACTGATATTAACTTTTATAAAAGTTTCCTGGTTCTATTCTGGCATGAAGATCTTCCTTGATTCTTTAGGTTAGTCTTAAGTACTCAATTTGTAGTTACTATAAAGAAAAGGTTAAACAAACTTCATTCGTTCACTGAAGTGATTGAATTGGTGTATAATTCTGTGTTTTGCTAGAAACGTTTTTCTGTAGATTGATGCAAGTATTTGATGGTTTCTGCTTCTTAACATCCAAGTAGTGTACTGACATGCTAACATTTGTTGGCTTTTCAAAAGCAGCACTTTAATGATAGTGTTTCAACATCTTAGTGATAAGCTTATTAAATTAATGGATCAAATACTTGGTGAAATTATTGCCACCAAGTTGAGGCATGGAAAAAAATAACAACAAGTTTATCATATGTCAGTTAACATCATGTGAACAAATATGTACAGAATGAATGAAAATACATAAATTGGTAACAAATAAAAATGACATAATTAGGGTAATTTTTATCAGTAGTACCATTCCAAGTATTTTTCTGCTTTGTAGATTGTAAATTATACAGTATTTCAGATTTGCACATTAGAAGCAGATATTTCCAACATCAAAAAGCAATTCAGTTCATATACACGAGGTGCTGACTGCTCAGTCTTTACTGCAGTCCTAAATGACTGCAGTAACTAGAGTTACTGGAGCTACTACACAGTAGCATTGCTGAATGGCTTTTAGGTGACGCTGGCCGTGCAATAGCTCATTACTATTGTGCGGTAGCATTGCATCACGTGTCCTGCCATATGACACTACTGTGCAGTAGTAGTGTCCTGCCATGCAATGAGTCATGGCGCAACCAGTGTCTTGAAGATGCGGCCACTGCATATGAATGGTAGCATAGATAAGATTACTAACATATATTTTTGTTTTTGTCTGCTGAATTTAGAATAACATTTATTTTTTAATTCCATTCATAAAACGGCTTAACATTTTAAAGTATTTTGGAAAATGAAAGGGGTAATTTTCATGTAATGCTATATTTTATATTTCAAAAAATGAAGTGGGTACAAAACGTAAAATAAATTTATGAATAAGTTGCCATTGAAAATGATCCCTTTTTGTCTTGATCTGAGAGAGAGAGAAAATGCCTGTAATACCAAGAACACATTGTAACTATACAAAATATTATGAAATATGTATACCTTAGCTCTTCACAACAGTTTATAAATAAATTAGACTAGTGGCTTTGTAGTGTTTAATTCATTTTTATATGGATTGTAACATTAAATACTAAAGTGCATTGTACTTCTGGAGTGGTCCAGTTTTTATTAGGCCCCCAGTCCTGCAATTAACCCCTACATAGTGAAGCTGTCTTGAATTTACCGGGGCTTTGCACAGGCATTTGGGCTCATCCATGCATATCTGTTTGGAAAGCTAGCTAGTAGATAGGTTGTAAGTATGAATGGCTGAGGGTGACAGCCTGGCTGTACTGAAGTCGATGATAAAAATCTTACTGATTAACATACAATATATTTCTGCATAAATTGAAGAAAATAAATAGTAATTTCACCTGGATTATATGATCCTAGCTTATTACAGATCTGATGTACCTACCAAATGTTATTCATATTTGTCTCTTCAGCTGATAGATTTTTAACATAATTTCTTGGAGAAGGATGTGTTTTGTCTTTAGTATTGTGAGAAGACATTGGTGTATGTTTCAAGATGCTTGTAATTTTTGGTTTAAAAAAAAACCCTGTTTGTTGGCAACCTCCCTGTATTTACTATGATACTTCAACCTAGTTCTGGTAGAAATTCTAATACTGAGTGAAATGTATTTTAAGTCCTTGTTCTGGAAAAGCCAGGATCAGTTGTATGGTACTGCTGACAGTTGTCACACTCTTGTCAATCTTCTTCCTGTATCTTTATTGACAGTGGGTGCATCATAGAATTGAATTGTTTACTTGCATTTGATTTAAACTGTAATTTTCTTACCAAATTTCTTAAATTAAAAATGTTTAAATATTCAAGTTCTGTTTCCACACACAAATTCTAATACTAAACTTAATCAGGAGGCAGTCTTTATGATTAGAAAGCTGATTTGCTGGTCGTTTTGAAATGTAATAATTCAGAATAATTTTGTCGTGTATCTTTCTTTAAATAGTCAATTAAATGATCTATGTTGGAGGCAAAAAAAATTCCAGTTACAATTTCCATTTCATTCTTAAAGTTTTAATTATTTTGTAGTTTACTTTTCACCCATGATGGCTCTAGGACTTTGCTTTTGGCAAGCTTGTTATTAATGTGATACAATCTTGATCTTTTTTATTGAATATTCTTATTTGCTGATAGTCTAGGGGAATGATGTATGGAAATCATTCTAGCGCTATATAAGCAGCAGCAGTATGTACTGTTTGGCCATTCTGTGTTGTTTGCTTTAAAACTAACATACAATATTTGTTTTAAAAATAACAAACAATATTTGATTACCACACTTTGACTGAATGAGTGGAGTGGCATATAGATTGTATTGTAAGCTTGTGGATAGACTTTTCTATTCCATGGAGGTTGTTTGTTCCATTTTGATAACTATAACTTTTTCCCTTCTTTGTTTTTCTTTCTGCTTGCCCTCTGCAGGAAGTAGAGGTTGGTATTATCTTTTGTATTTTCTGTTCCTTTGAGTACTCATCTGTATGAATTGATTTCTTATATCATACTAAATGCGGCTGTTGTTTTCTCCTCCAGGATGATTATTTCCGCACATGGAGCCCGGGTAAACCGTTTGATCAAGGTAAGAGTTTCTGTCTTTTAAATAATTTATAGCTGTAATATATTTTTAATAACTTGTAATATATTATTTTCTTAAATTAATACAGATAAAACTGATACATTTCTGCATTCTTTTTACCCCCTAATGTTGCTTATTTAAAAAGGGCCACAAGTTGATAGATTTATATTCACTACCATCATAATTATTGGAACATGAAATGAAGAACAATAACAATAACTACTGTCTGAAGGTTGCCTGATTGTTTCCCATTTTTTATATATATATATATATATATATATATAGATATATAGAAGAGATTCAAGCCTTTTTTAATTATATTTTTTAAGAGTTTCTATGCTTTGCAGCAGGAACCTGGATAGGTCTTAGATCAAATAGTTGCCATTTGCTGTCCTACTCGTATGTATTCTAATTATGATTTAGTCGAGATAGTGAGTTGTAGAGGAACAAAGCTTGTACTTTTGTCATGCTTAGTAGATATTGTCAGAAGCTTGCTAATATGTGAATTATAATAATTTGAATATTCTCTCTCAAATGAGTAGACTCCTTAGTATCTCCCTGAGTCATGGTGAAATGGAACTATAGCTGTAACTGCTGTGAGTGGGCAGGTTATTATTTTTTATTAACTACTAAAGTGTCAACATTTCTTTTTTTTCCTAGATATTTTATTATATAACATTTAAGTTTAGTTTGCAGGAGTGTTCTGTAGGGAGAATAAAAGTGATAGAGATGGATAAGAGATGTGAGAATACTACAGTACAGTTCTAGAATAACTTGAGTGAATGTGCAAGAGGAAAGGATTTCTGTGGGTGATATTGTTTACTGGACCAACTGCTTGGTTGAGATAGACTCCAACAAGCTTTTGAATACCATGCATTTTCCAAGTGTGAGGGGGGAAAGCGGACACAGTACACATTAAAAAAAAAATAAAAAAAAATCAGGGTTCGGAAAAGGAAGGAGAGAGAAAATTCCCAGGGGTAGCAGACAAGCAAATCATAGGAGAAAGGATAGCTTGATTTAGCGGAAATTCAAAAGCTTTCAAAAGGAAAGTGTCATTATCATCTATAGTGTGAAGAAAGAGATTATCTGGGATTAGATAGATGATAATATTGCTTGAAGGCAATATCAGCGTTTAGTTCTTGGTTTTTAGTGTCCTGCCAGTTTATGAATTTTTATTCCCAGGTTTGCCTCTTGAGGATGGTTTGTAAATTTCCCTTGAGCTCCAGGTTAGTGAGGCTGGAAAGTGAGTGGCTGTTCTACAAAGAAGTGTTCTCCTGTGTGTGCTCATGGGTCTTGTTTCATTTTCTTGTGATCATTCATTGTGGTGAGTTTTAGTCTAATTTCATCCACACATTTTCCATCAGGGCATTTGGTACACTGAGAGATAACACCACATTTTTGGATAGGCCTGTGTAGGATCCATGGATTTTGATGCGTTTCATAGATTTCATAGACCTTTGGGCTTGAAGGGACCCCGGAGGATCATCGAGTCCAGCCCCTGCCCCAGGGGCAGGAAGTCAGCAGGGATCATAGGATCCCAGCAAGATAAACATCCAAATGTGTCTTGAAGGCATTCAAAGTGGGTGCTTAAACTGCCTCCGGCGGCAGTCTATTCCAAAACTTGGGGGCTCGTAAAGTGAAGAACTTCTTTCTTATGTCCAGCCTGAATCAGTTGCAGCAGAGTTTGTGACCGTTCGATCTTGTCATCCCTTGGGGCGCTCTGGTGAACAGACGTTCCCCCAGATCCTGATAAGCACCCCTGATAAACTTATAGGTGGCCACCAGATCACCCCTGAGCCTGCCCTTTTCCAGGCTGAAGAGCCCCATGGCTCTCACCCTCTCATCATAAGGTCTGTTTTCCTGACCTCTGATTATGCATGTGGCTCTCCTCTGCACCCTCTCAAGCTTCTCCACATCCTTTTTGAATTGTGGAGCCCAAAATTGGACGCAATACTCCAGCTGTGGCCTCACCAAGGCTGAGTACAACAGGAGAATGACATCCTGGGATTTACTTGAGAAGCATCCATGGATGCAAGCCAGCATTTTGCTCGCTTTACTAGCCGGAGCATCACACTGAAGGCTCATGTTCATCTTGTGGTCATTCATGACCCCCAAGTCCCTTTCATCTGTAGTGCTAACCAGAGTAGCACTGCTGAGCCTATACGCATGCTGCAGGTTTTACTTCCCAAGGTGGAGAACCTTGCATTTTTCAGTGTTGAACACCATCAGGTTCTCGTCTGCCCATTTCCTGAGTCTGTCAAGATCCACCTGGATCACCCTCCTGTCCTCAGGTGTGGATGCTTTACCCCCGAGTTTGGTATCGTCAGCAAACTTGGCCAGTCCGCTTCTGACACCAATGTCCACATCACTGATGAAGATGTTAAATAGTATAGGCCCTAGGACAGAG